AATCGTTTTATTCACTTTTTATCTTCTATTCTTGTCTTTTGCATTATTTTTATGAATAAACTAATATAGAGGTCCATGGCCAGTTTAAGATAGGTATTTGTGAAAGTTAAGTAGAAAATTATAAAATTTATGTTTAAAGTAAGTTCATGTTTTGCTTAAAGTGGCCGCAACCAGTACTTCTACCCTATAGGCACCCCAGTTAAAATTTAAAATTCGGCGCCACTGCTCATGCCTTAACCAAGAGTACGTGTACCTCCAATGCTATATATTGTGGAGACTCCAGGAATAAAATTTAATACTTAATACGCTTTGTTTAAGTTTAGAGATGTTCTTTATTTTATCCCGAAAAAACTTAACAATGTACTAATATTTTTAATAATTTATATTTTTTTGCAGCTTTGTAGCATTTGTTTTCGTCAAAGGAGAATCGTTGCATTGGATTTTTAACCGACTCTAATTTACATTATTCCTAAGGAAGACAAATATCGTAAATAATGTCCATTAAATTGCTCCAGATCAATACCAACCGGAGCCTGGCCGCACACGACATGGCGGTTCTTAAAGCCAATAAAAATCAATGCGATATAATCGCAATAAGCGAGCCAAACATAAATAAATGCAAAAACAAAAGAAGCAAATACTGCAACTCAACAACCTCTGTAGCCACAGTAGTCCAAAACCAAAAAACAAAAATCTTCAAATGCATGTCAGGAGAGCTAGAGACCATCGTAATATACAACGTGTACATCAGTCCAGGATGTACGATACTTACCTTCAAAGAATACATGGGGGATCTCAATGCCAATGTTGGGTTGGGTTCCCGTGTGGGGTTTTGTGTGTTTCCTCCATCGTGGCGCGTCCCCGGGTGGCGGATAGGGGAAAGCCTCCCAGATATGGGAGGCAGGGGTCGTAAGTACCCTCGCGGATCAAAAAACACACACAAATCCCAAAGCGTCTGACCCGAGACGGGCGGCTTCTGGGTCGGCGTCTGACTCCAGAGGAGCGGCCGTACATACCACCTGGCCGTAGGTATAAAAGGCAATGGAAGGACACCATTCAAACCAAGCATGGAGTCGTATTACGAGGAAATGTCTACGGAGCAAGGGCGGGACACCCTAGTTCCGGTCGGTGCCGCGGGTGCGCAAGCAGGCCCCGCCCGATCGTTAGCCACCAACTGTAAGAACCTGGCCGCAGGGATAAAAGGCAATGGAGGGAAACCATTTGAAAAACCACGCATGGACTTCGATACAGGAAAAATGCTTACGGGACAGGGGCTCGGAACTCCAGAACCGGTCGGTAACGGTGGTGGTAGTGCAGGCCCCAACCGACCGTCAGCCAGCAACTGTACGCTCGCGGTAGGAAACCAGGCCGTGGAGTTGGCGAAATATACTGGATTCTTCACGAGGGGGAATACAATACTTGACCGCCCCAGAAGTGGGTCATGCGGTACCCTAGATCTCACGTGGGATGACGGAATCAATGCCTCTATCCCAAAAAAGGACTACGAGGAGAAATGAAGGGCAAGTAAAGGCGGCAGCGATCTAAATCTGCTGGGAAATGTTTTATTAGGGAGCGAACCTCAGGATCTCAAAAGGAGAAGACAACCCTTTGAAGTACAAACCACCAAAAGGAACAAGTGCCCCATAGCTAGGGAGCTAATAGAAACCCTGGAGGCCATAGTACTGTTCTCCAGGAAACTAGAAAAAATATCAGCCGAAAACAAGAACACGAAAACAGAGATGAAAGAGCTGATAGTCAAACTCAGCAGCAAAACAGCAAACCTGGAAAGGATAACTATCAAGGAGTGGCTAGACAGCCATAAATATATCCCGGTACCCAAGCCAACATACGATGTGGACTCACAAACCGTAGGCAACAGTACAAATGACATAGCAACACAAACCCAGACAACTGAAGCAATAAGTACGGAGAACAGGAAACCTGAGGTATACGACATCGAAGACTGCGATAACTTCCAGAAAGGCAGCAGAGTCTGGGCAGACACTGTCTTTACAAATACGACCTGCAAAGAAGGTAACCCCTTGGAAACCAAAGATCAGGCAATGTTGATTAGTCCTAACAATAAGCAAATGGAAAAAGGAATCCAAAAATCGTTTAGGAATAAATTTCCAGAGCTAGTCGATATCATTAAGGATTTTGGTATCCTAGAAATGGAAAGCAAAATCAAAACCGCAAAAGCCGGCCAAACGACCAAACGAAAGGTAGCCAAAATTACACATAATGATAATGAAGAAGACATTTACGGAAAACTGGTGATGCTCAAAACTGAATGCGGAGAAAAAGGAAACATCGCCCTACACAAGCCGGAAAAAATGGGACTAGACAGATTTAAACAAATGACGGAAGCAATATTTCACGACTGCACGACACAGGTCATTATCTATATTAAAGAAGGGGACAAGGAGAAAAGAAATCCTAATCAAATAACAGAGGCATGGAGAACGCAGAAAAAGAAAACTAAAAAGAGCATCCTAATTAAGCGCAACGACACAAGCGTAAATTATAACGAAATACTCAAAAAAAATGCGACAAGTCAACATAGACTCATACCAGGTAAACGTTGAAAAAATCAGAACAAATAAACAGGAAGACATAAACATAACGATCACAGAAAAAGTGGAGGGAGCCTGCTCTAAATTAAGTGCAAAAATCAGAGAAGAACTGACAGATGTGGCACAAACGGAAGAGAGGCAACCTGTCCTCCATTTATTCCTAAATAACCTGGCACCAGAAACAACGGAAGAGGAAATTGAAGAAGCGCTAAGAAGGGAAACAAAGAGCCACAGCAGTCTAATTAAGGCTAAAACCCCCCACGAAACAAAAAGAGGAAACATAGTAGCAACAGCCGCAGTTCCAAGAGAGCTGGCCCAGCCCTTTTAATTATGGGCAAAATAAAAATAGGGTGGTCAAGGTGCACCATCGAAGAAAATATAATGATCGCTAGATGCTATATATGTCAAAAGATGGGACGATCCAGTGTGAACTAACGAAGTATGTAGTCATCATACCAATTCCCAACAAGGAAGCAAAAACTGTATCTAGAGCTATAGTCAACGGATTCGTCCTACACTTTGGTCCAATAAGAGAAATTCGTACGGACATGGGAACAGAGTACAGAAATGAGATACTCGAAAATCTGACAAAAATGCTAAATATTGAGCACAAGTTTACAACAGCATACCACAGTCAGTCTATTGGTGGCTGTGAGAGAAACCATCGAGTACTGAATGAATACTTGAGGGCCTACATCAACAAGGATAAGTCAGATTGGGATGAGTGGATTCAATACTTCGCGTTCTGCTACAATACGACACCGAGTACGTACCACAACTATAAACCGTTTGAGTTATTTTACGAAAAAAAAAACCAGAATTACCGTATAAGTTGTGTGGTGGTGTAGATCCGGTGTACAACATAGAGGCGTATGAGAAGGAGATGGCATACCGTTTACAAAAATCTCAACAGAGGGCTCGAGAGATGCTGGAGAAGGAGAAGCTCAAAAGGAAGGTTTCCTATGATAAGAACAAATATAAAATTAACGTTAACGTTGGTGATCCCGTAGTAGTAACTAACGAGAATCGTACTAAATTAGACCCCTGGTACAAAGGTCCTTTTAAGGTAGAGAAATGTATCGACACGAATTGCATTATTTCAAGTGAAAAAGGGAAAACATTTACGGTACATAAAAATAGATTACAACATTATAAAACCTAGGACAATAAATTGCGCATATCATATATCATATATTATGTTTACCATTTTTATCGTATTATTTTACTGCATGCATAATTTTAGGAGAACAGCTGTTAGTTTAAGGCATTATTTTATTTAAGATATATATTAGGGTGGTCCATTTTTTAAGAAATTTTGATTTTTTTTGCTCTCAGGGGTTCAAAAGGTTCGAAATAAATAAAAAAATATATTTTCCAAGTTTCAAGTTCCTAACATAATATTAACCCGTGCCGCATTGCAGTTTATGTTTCCTATGTAAATAACATGGTGTTTTCAGCATTGAATAATTAATTATTTATTCCGGCCAAAGTAACTGTTCAAAAAATTTGAAACTTGTCAGAATTTAACCTTATAATAGTAGCTATTCGTTAGAATTTTAACGGATTTTTAGCAATGATATTGTTAGAGTTTCATCTATATGATTTTTATTAAATTTAAGAAAATCATGTAGCTAAAACTTTAAAATTATAATAGCTTAAAATCTGTAAAAATTCTGAGAAATATCCACTATTATAAGGTTCAATTTTGCCAGGTTTCAATTTTTTTTTGACAGTTGCTTTGGCCGGAATAAATAATTAATTATTCAATGCTGAAAATCCCATGTTATTTACATAGGAAACTTAAACTGCAATAAGGCACGGGTTAATATTATGTTAGGAACTTGAAACTTGGAAAATATATTTTTTTATTTATTTCGAACCTTTTGAACCCCTGAGAGCAAAAAAAATCAAAATTTCTCAAAATATGGACCACCCTAATATATATTATGGGATAATATAAAATATTTTAGATTTAAGTAGCATTGTATAAATATTTCTTTTCTAATTATTTGTATTGTTAATATTAAAATTGTTTTTATATTTAGTTATTTAGGGTGCAGTGTACATTTCGCTCGGACTGTTGAACTGTGTTTGTGCAGTGTTTTATATCAGGTTTAATAAAGTTCATTTTGTGATAAACTTCATTTTTCAAAAGGGGAAGGTGTAGTACATAGTTTTGGCAGTTAGCTTGTACCGCTTAAAAGTGCTGACCGAGCTATTCGTACCCCCACGGTACCTAATGCGAGGTTTCCTAAATGAGGAACCAGGCTGACCAAGTCAGTCTAGTACATGTACACTAATTGTAAATTTTTATAAAAAACTAATGTAGCTACACTTGATGTCCTTCAATCCAAAGTCCGGTTGATTCCATTACAGAGGGAGGAAATCAAGATGGAGAGGGAAGAGATGAGGAAAGAGGCGAAGGCAATGAAAAAAGAGGCCGAGGCCCTCACCCTCCAAATCAAAACCATGGAGAGCCTCAACAAATCGATCAGTCAGGCATCGATAAACCTGTCGTTGGAGGAGGAAGAACAGGTGGCCGAACTCAGCCCTAAGCTCAAGGCCACAAAGAAAAAAATAGAAGACATACATATATTCATTACTAAAAACAGAAACGTCCATACGGAACTAAAGGAAATGTGTGGCAGCCTCAGGTCAACAATAAATAGCGTGGCGAAAGAGTATATTAGGGACAAGACCTCAGAGCTAGAAAAAGGAGGTGAATTTACCAGGGAAATAAAAAGGCTTGGAGAGATAATCAGAAACCACAACGAACCCAAAAGTAGACTATGCGAAAAGTGCGCAATAAACGCGGACACAATGCCAGACACCCTTAAGAGCATACCGTCGGATATCACTTATGAAATCTTCCAAGAAATAGAAGATAAAACTTGGGAGGAAAAAGCATATAAGAACACGGAGACTAAGGTCAGGGACCCCACTACGTGCAGGGAATCCTCAGCAAAGGTCGTGTTTATAGAACCTGGAAATGAAAAAATGGCCGAAAGCATCCAAAGGATATACCTGAACAGATACCCTAATCTGGGAGAGATCAAAGAGGACTACGGCTCCTTGTATCAGGCAATAAGTATAAGAAACTCTGAAGGAGTAACGTGCAAGGATGTGCAGGTGATATATAAAATAAAAACGGAACACGACCAAAAACACCTCTGGGACAAGCTCCAGAAACTGAAAGAAGAGAAAAAAGAAGGTGGGACCATAGCATTCCACCACCTTAAATCCACGAGTGTCATAAAACTCAGGAAAATATTGGAGGCAGTGTTCCAGGGAGCAAAAAACAGGCTAATAATATACACCACGCGACGGAAACTCCAGGAGCAAGGAGAAGGAAATCCCAAAGACAGGGAACGTACTACGGGCGGAGGAGACAGGAACACCTATGCCTTGATATTAAAAAGTACAGGAGATGACTACAAGGACACCCTTGCAAAGATTAAAAACACCGTACAGGACCCCAAAAATGCGAAACATAATTAAGACGGTCAGAAAAGCTAAAGAGGGGTTGGTCCTTTTAGTAACAGAAAATATGCAGACAGAGGCCCTGGCACTACAAAAGGCTATCAACGATAACATGGAGGGAGTGCATACAAATATAAAGGGTATGAAAGCCAAACTACCACACCAGCCACTACAAGAGGCGAAGTCATAGAAGCCATAAAAAACCGATTGAGTGAAATTAAAGAAGACGAATATAAACTCGGAGAACTAAGACCAAATGCAGGAAACACCCTGGCCGTCTCACTATCTCTAAGTGAAACTAACGCAGCCAAGATCCTGCAAGACAAAAAGGTAAGAATAGGACTTGTGAAATGCACAATGGAGGAACGAATTGTCATGAAAAGGTGCAGGAAATGCTGGGAATACAATCACGAGGAAAGAAACTGCAAAGGAGAGGACAGATCGAAGGCATGTTACAAATGTGGCACTAAGGACCATACAGCTACAAAATGTCCCAACGAAGAAGCGTGTCCTCTGTGTAACGAGACCGGGCACAGATCCGGCTCTGGGAAATGTAGTGTATATAAGAGAGCACTAAACATTAAGAGGAAACTACATAGAAAGGAAGTAACAGGAGCCGCAACCACTACCGGGGAAAAAACTGGGACAAGCAATGGGATAAGCAATGAGATCCGAACAGAAGACAGCGGCAAAAAAGCAGTCGGGGACGGGACAAACAGTTTAGAAACTACTTAATCCATAACACCAAAAAGAGGATATAACTAGGTTAATTTTATCGGATAAGTTAACCAGCTACCCTTATATTAATAAGTATATTAAAAGTATAATGCCTAACATTCTACAAATTAACACTAACAACAGCCTAACGGCACACGACATGACCATACTAAAGGGGGCAAACAGGAAAAATGCGACTTCATTGTAATAAGCGAGCCTAACACAACCAAATGCCAAGGAAGAAGTAACACGTACTACAATCAAACATACACGGCCGCAATCATAAACACCACCCCCAAACACACCGTTGCGGCGTACAAGCAAGGGGAAAGCTACGTAGCTATCGAAACACCAAATTTCATAATATACAGCATATATATTAGTCCAAGCAGAACATACTCTGAATTTAGGGAGTGCCTGAGAGAAATCGAGATTGAGTTAAGAAAGAATATCTCTATAAAAAAAACTATACTAACAGGCGACTTTAACGCTAAGAACACGTACTGGGGAGGAAGTGTTACCGACAAAAAGGGCAATACCCTGCTAGAATGGATATGGGCAATGGGCCTCATTGTGCTGAACGATGGCAATGTCCCCACACTGGTCAGATGGAACGGTTCTTCGTTCATTGATCTAACCCTGGTGTGTGACAAGACTAAAAAATGACCACAGAGTGGACAGTCTTGGAGGAGCTATCCCTCAGCGACCACAACTATGTACTGACAAAAATCCAACCCGTTACCGATAGGAACCTACCCAAACATAAGTTTGGTTTCACCGACACGGATAGGATGAACCAAAAATTCAGGAAAGAATTAAGCAAGAACAACAATCCCAGGGATATCAATGTTTACAGCAGGTTGATTAGCGCCGCATATAAAAAAGCACCCCCAGAGTCAGATGTAATGTTGAATACCAAATGCCCTACTGGTGGACAGAAGAAATCGAAAGAAAAATAGCGGAAGTAAAGCGAAGGAGAAGAGTGCTACTAAGAAGCAAAACAGAAGAAGCGCGGATTCATAACAACACTACATACAAACATGCTAAAAAGGAGCTCAAAAAGCTAATAAACAAATCGAAAAGGAACTCCTGGAGTAAACTCTGTGACGACCTCGATAATGACATCTTCGGGCAAGCATGCAAAATCGTAAAGACGCAGTTAAAACTACTCAGACCTAATACAAGACCGACTCCGGAGGAGAAAATCGAAATTTTCCGAAACCTATTCATGCTCCCAAAAGACGACAGGAAACAAAACACCGCGAACAGCATACGTGATATCTTAAGGGATGAGGATTGGGAGATCTTCAGCAAGGAGGAAGTACTAGCAGCGGCAAAGAAGATTAAAACAAAAAAAGCACCAGGCCCAGACAGCATACCACCCGAGCTGATTAAACACTTAATTAAAAACAACACGGAGTATTTCACCGGACTTTACAACCACCAGATGCGAACCAGCACTTTTCCCGGCGAATGGAAGCGGACCAAACTTATACTCTTCGAAAAACCAAAGCAGGACATAACGGCGCCGACAAAATACAGACCCATTTGTTTAATGAATGCAGCAGCTAAAGTCTTCGAGAATCTAATCAAAGCTCGACTAATGCAAGAGATCGAAGAAAAAGGAGGCTTCAGCCCTACACAATATGGCTTCGTGAAGGGGAAGTCCACTATAGACGCCATACAACACATACAGAACATAATGACCAACAGAGGAGAGATGTACCACGCATTAATTCTGATTGATGTAAAAAATGCTTTTAACACAGCATCGTGGCCTCTAATCATCAAGAACCTGAAAAAAAAAGGAATCAGTACATACCTAGTAAGGATCGTCGAGTCTTATCTGAGCGACCCTTACATTATGATAGACAAGGACAGACAAGAAAGAATAGGCGGCGGAGTGCCCCAGGGATTCGTACTAGGCCCTATACTTTGGAACGTACTGTACGATGGAGTAATGCAAACAGAGGTCACAGGGAATGTACGGCTGATCTGCTACGCGGATGACCTGGCGATCCTGGTGTCCTCTAAAGACAAGAAAGAACTGATGTGGACGGCGGATGAATTCCTACACGCCATCGGACTCTGGATGCAGGCGAACAAGTTAAAAATCGCACTGGAGAAAACGGAAGCCATTATAATCACAGAGGGCAAAAGGACATACACTTCTCCTTAGACGAAGTACGCATTACTCCAAAAAAGGCAGTTAAATACCTGGGGATAACACTGGACTGCAGGCTGTCCTTCGGCAAACACCTGAAGGAAGCCTACACGAAGACAAAAAAAGTCATCAAGGCTTTAAACGCTGTCCTGCCTAACATCGGAGGACCCTCAGCAGGCAAGAAAAAGACTCTGGCCATGGCGGTGCAGTCAGTAGTCCTATATGGCTCACCAATATGGGAAGTAGCCATGAAGCACCAAAAACCCCTAGAAGACACAAAAACCATCCAAAGACCCATGGCGCTGAGGGTCTGCAGCGCATACTGTACGTTGTCTACGGAGGCAGCCCTGGTGCCGATACACCTACTGGCTGGCGAAAGGCAGAGACTCTTCTCAAAGGGAGCGGAGGCAGACAGGGAACGGGAGAGAGAAACTACTCTAGCGACATGGCAACAGGAATGGGACAGGTCAAACAAAGGCCGCTGGACTCACAGACTGATCAAAGACATTAAGAAATGGGATAACAGGAAATGGGGGCTGACGAACTTCTACCTGACACAGTGCCTCACCGGCCACGGCACCTTTGGTAAATACCTAAAGGAAATTAAAAAACGTGTGGAAGCAACGTGTTTCTACTGCGAGCTGGAGGACGACGCAAAACATACCGTTGGTCTGCCCCAGATGGGAGGTAAATAGAATGGAACTATTTAACAAGGTGGGCCATGTGGATGTCGAAAACCTGGTCGATACAATGCTTGCTTCAAAAGAAGACTGGACAGCAGTCGAGGAATACACCACCGCGATTATGACCGAAAAGTGTAGATACGAGCTAGAACTACAAGGCAGGATATAGGCCGGAAATTACCCGATGTTATGTCTTTCTTAGACGGTCCCAGGTGGCTTCGAAATTTTCCTAAAGGGGCCAATAGAGGAAAGGGTTTTAGTGGGTCGGACTAGTTCATCCCCACACCCCGCCAGGCGACAGAACAACAATGCCTGGAGGGTCTGTACACAGATTTCCCAAACCTCTAAAAAAAAAAGGGTTGGGTTTCCCTCAGGAGCGCACCCTTAAGGTGTGTTCGGGACCTGGCGAGCCCGGGGTGCCCGAGCTGAGATGGCAGCACTTCGCTGGCCACCATAAAAGTCCTAGTAGCGTCTGTGACGTAGCGTTCGGCTACTAGGCCAGCGTCTGAACCCCAGAGGGGCGGCTGATCCCCAACACCTGGCTGTAGGTATAAAAAGCGATGGAAGGAAAACCATTTAAAAACACCAAGCATATGCAACATGGAGAGTGACAAAAAGATTCCCCAGGAGGGTCCGGCTCAGCCAGGAATCCCTCCCTGTGAAAGCAGGCTGCCCCATGAATCTGGGGGGGGGCAGCACCTCTTTGCAAACGCCAACACAAACACGAGCTCAAAGAAGAGATTCGGTAGGATCCATAGGAAGAAGAAGAGACTCGGTAGGATATTCAGGAACCATAGATCTAACATGGGACGAAGAGACCCAATCATCGCTACCTAGTGATAAATATAAAGAAAAAGAAATGTAAAAAAGGGGGGCACCCTTTCCAAAAGTTTTCGGAGCTATAGCTAGAAGCTATTTCAGTAACCCAAAGAAAAGGAAAACCATGGACACCTCTTTTACGGAGCAGGAAAAGGTGTACAAAAAGAAGGAGTCTCCGGAGGCCTTTACCATAAATGAGGCATTTGAGGAAATTACGAGGATGACGAAGATTTTGGTTCAAAACGTCGAACAAAATACCAAGAGAGAGATAAAGGATTAAGCTGTTGTGTTAGAGAGACAGGTAGAGGTAATAAATAGACTGTCGATCAAGAACTGGATCCAAAAGCACAGATTCAAGGAGACACCAAAAATGGTGTACGACGGGGAGACCCAAACCGAAAATAGGGCCAAAGGGCAACCAGAGCCAAGCACGGGCCATGAAGGGGAGGGGGATGATGATAAGAAAAGAATGGAGATAGCGTTTGCGGAGCTTGGAAACCGAGAGGAAAGGATAGACCTGGAGACCTGCGGCCCCCTAGGCCCCCGGATCCCGGACAAAAGAGGATCTGCGAGACGACCAAGGAATGTATCCTGAACAAGAGATGCAATCCAAAAAACTGGAACAAATAATAAGTCTAATTGGGTCTCTTAGTATTTTCACCAAAGAGAACAAAAACGTTCATATCATGGTAAAGGAGCTAGTACAGGAGATCGAGTCCGGAATCTCATCAGTCCGTGCTGAACACAGAAGCAATAAACTGATAATGCAGGAAAAAGAACGAAAACAACTCAAGATAATCAGCGAACTGAAAGAAAAGACAGTATGCAAGAAATGTGAGAAAGAAAAAAGATTCGTCCTAGAATCTTAAATTGAAGACTTCGATGAATTCGCCAAAATCCTCAAAAATGAGTGGGACCCTAAATCGTACAAGACAACGACGATCGAAAAGGACGACCCACTGAAGAGCCAATGGAAAAACCTTATCTTTTTCGCGGACTCTGATCCTAAAAACATATCCAGAAACTGTAAACGTTTCTTAAACCGATTCCCTGAAATACTATCCGGTAAAAACGACATAATAGAAGGCATGAACACTCTAGAACAAAGTACAACATATAAGGACGTAAATGGACAAAAATAGACTAGCAAGAAAACAGTGACGGAGGCGTTCATCGACCACACTGCACAGGATGGTCGCAACATGAAGGTCATCTTTAACCACCTTAAGCAAATAAAGGACACGATTATAGAAGCCAGAGAAATAACGACGCTAGCCCCCCCAGGAATAAAATCACACTAGGACTATAGAAAGATGCTTGAAGCAGTGTTCTATGATACTGGTTGTGAAATCCATCTCTTCACTCAAAAGAATAACAACAATACAAATAACAAAAAAGGCAGAACAGAGGCCATAATTATAGAAAGCAAAAACACCACATATGCAGAGACCTTAAAAAAAATTAAAGAGAACCTGACGGATACAGACATGATAAAACAAATAAATAGAGCAAAAAGCACAACAAAAGGAGACCCACTGATATCACTATCTAACACCGCAGAAGGGAAAACAATTAAAGAGAAGATCGAAACTATTGTTAGAGGAGAACAAAAGGTAAGACTGCTAGATGGTAACAAGCAGATGACCATACATATACACGGTATCGATGACGTCTCAACAATCTAAGACATAAAAAATGCCCTAAGTAAAACGAATCTCCTAAAAGATAACTTTGAAGTGAAGTCACTGAGACCCAATAGAGGAAACACACAATCTGCAACAATAAAAACAAGCCCAAGGGACACAGAAAGACTAGCCGAAGAGGAGAAGCTACGAATAGGGTTTAACATCTGCAAAATCCAGGAAAAAAAGACCTACTGAGATGCAACAGATGTTGGACCTATGGGCACCGACACGCAAACTGCACAGGAACAAATCGGACGAAACTCTGTCTAAAATGCGCAGAAGAAGGTCATACACGCACTAACTGCACAAAAGACGCCTTCTGCCCGCTATGTCAAGTAGGGGGACATACGGCTGGCTCAGGCAGAAGTGACGCCTTCAGAAAAGCAATGGCAAAGGACAAGGAAGACAAATATCGTAAATAATGTTCATTAAATTGCTCCAGATCAATACCAACCGGAGCCTGGCCGCACACGACATGGCGGTTCTTACAGCCAATAAAAATCAATGCGATATAATCGCAATAAGCGAGCCAAACATAAATAAATGCAAAAACAAAAGAAACATATACTGCAACTCAACAACCTCTGTAGCCACAGAAGTCCAAAACCAAAAAACAAAAATCCTCAAATGCATGTCAGGAGACTGCTATGTGGGAGTAGAGCTAGAGACCATCGTAATATACAACGTGTACATCAGTCCAGGATGCACGATACTTACCTTCAAAGAATACATCTCGGAACTCGAGCATGAAATCAGAAACCATGCATCACAGAAAATGATCTCTGTAATGGGGGATCTCAATGCCAAAAACCCACTCTGGGGCGGAGAGGCGACCAAGACTAGGGGAAATAATCTTCTAGAGTGGTTCCTGGCGTTAGAATTAAACACCCTCAATACCGGAAACACTCCGACACTTGAAAGAACAACTGGGCACTCATTCATAGACGTAACGGCAGTATGCCAGGAAACTATGGCTAGGAATCCAAGATGGAAAGTCCTGGACATACCCTCCTTAAGCGACCACAACTACCTCTTCACAGAGATCAAAACATGCACTACAAACAAAGAAACAACATACAAATATGGCAACACAAACCTACAAACCATGGATGAAGTATTTAAACTTGAAATACAAAAAAATAGGCAATCAACATCAATAAAAACCCTGGCCACAATGATCAAAACAGCCTTCCAGAAAAGCACTCCCAAAATAAAATGTCCTGTGGAATACCAAATGCCATACTGGTGGTCGGAAGAGGTATAAACCCAAATAAGGGAAGGAAAACAAAAACGACGCCGAATGCAGAGAAATAACACAGAAGAGGATCGAGACAACACCAGAGCAGAATATAAAAGGGCAAAAACAAACCTAAGAAAAACTATAAATAGGTCAAAAAAATGCGCCTGGACGGAGCTATGTAAGGACCTAAGCAACGATGTGTTCGGGGACGCATACAGGATAGTAAAAACACAACTAAAAAAGATAAGCCCGAAAATCGATCTCTCAACTAAAGAGAAAACAGATATATTTGCCAGCCTCTTCATCACGCCATCAGAGGAAATCCACAGAGATATGAGCTGGGATACAACTGTCGACAGAAACTGTAATAACTTCAGTGCTGAAGAGATCTTAACTGCAGCCTACAACCTTAAGGCATCGTTTGGGAGGGGTCATGTACCGGGGGTTAATTTTAACTGTAGAATTATTTTTTGGTACAACAAAGGTAAAATACTATTTTATCTTGTATATTAGCTGTTGCTAAAGAAATGTTTTAATATAACCTTTACATTTAATATTTTGTCCTTTTATTGGAAATGTATTTTTTGTTGGGCAAATAAATTATTATTATTATTATATAAGAAAATCCAGTTTTCTTGTTTTTTTCCACTGAATTTTCTTAACCTCATCCTCATTTACATCAATGTCCCAGTATTCATTTAGCAAAGCAAGACCAGTAAGGCGTTCCTCCCCCATGCTGGCCCTAAGCCACGTTTTTAACCGTTGCAACGTGGAACGAAAGTATACCTTTTTCGGACATGGGCTTATAACTCGGAAACTACTTGAGATATTTCTTTATTTTTTTTTTATTTTAAAGCTAATATTGTAACGGCCAAGTACATATATAATCTTAAACAATATTTTATTGAGTAATTTGGTGATTAAAACTTTAGTTGGCTAAATTGACATATTAATTTATTGTTTTGTCTTTTTTTTGTTAAAAATAAACATTGCTGTCAATATAACAAAAATAATTGCCAACTACATATACCTCCAAATTTGTGACGTCAAATTTCGAATAAAAAAAACTAACTCTATACATATTATTTATTCAATTTTTAAAAGTGACATAACTTCCTCAGAAAATTCCCTTTCCATAAAAATATAAAGGTTTTGCCTAACAGTAGCTAAATATGGATCTGAAGAAATTAAAAGATATTTTAATAAATCTTCATTACTTGCTACCCTGGAACATTTTCTGGGATGGTGCTCCCTAAAATTTCTAAAATCTTTATGCTCAGATGCCTATTCAGACAATTTTCCAATTGGAACAATTGCATGTTGTATTATTTCTTTTCCGTGAATTAAAATTTTATGTATTGTTGATGGCATATAATACCAGCCATATAACGCCATATAACGATACTTAAACTTTGGCTGTTTTTCGCTTGTATTTCTTCCCCTGAACCTACCGTTTAGTAACGGTAATATAATATTAGTATATTATATACATCCTATGAATTAGAATTTCATCAATTCCTGTAATTTGGGCAGTAATAGAATATTTATAAAAAAAAATTCTGGCTGTATTACCATCATTTGTTATTCCTGCATCCTGTTTAACAACATCCACCAATAATGCAAGGGATGCCTTAAATTGGGATTGAATTTTTAGTTTTTTTCTTCCTTTTGTATTTTATTTTCTGGTAATGATGCAGCCCATTTTTTAAATGGCAAATTATATGTCAAGTGTAAAATCCATTTCATATCCATGCATGTAAAGAAGAAATTTCGAAATCTAAGAATTTTCGTCTTTTGACACACTTTGGATAAGTCGTTCATTTCCACTGGTGATGCTTCACACAAATAAAATCTCGCAGCTGAAGCAGTGGAGGTAACAGCAGTGAGAACTTTTCCATCCACCATTTTGTGATTGATTTCCTTGTTGTAGGCTTTCGTTGGTTTTAAAATATCGATTTTACTTTGTACAGTTTTCTTTTCTGATACTGATTGCTCACTAGTCTCCTTAAAAAATTTGAAAGCAATTCGTCGGCAATATCTAGTTGAGGATGGCTTTAAGTTTTTCCATAGAATATTACCCTCTTCAATTATTCACCATAACTGTCCAGAACACTATAGCACACTCTGAATTTCCAAAAAAAAAATTTACCATTTGAAAAAGGACGTTTTTGCGGGTTTTTCACTAGTTTTTGAGAAAATTAAGTTTGAAAATGCTTTTTTTGACAGATTTTTTGACAAGAACTGTCAAGAAATGTCAGATTCAAATTCATCGCAATGTTGCCAGATGTAAAATTTTTACGCAGTTTGGGGAAATTTATTATGCAACCCAGATTACATAAAATTATTCCTAATTACATACATACATGAATACATGAAATATTTTTTGTTCCGTCCACGACTGTTCATTATTAAAAAAATTATCTCGTTTTATAAAATATTTCTTGTGTTTCTTTTATTTAATGTATAGCCTTATATAAAATATTTTTTTTGACAATTTTAATGCCAAAATAATATACCTATAATAAATTACCATCAATTTTTTTTATAAAAGTTTTGTGATTTGTGCCGTCCGCGTGATTGAAATTGCCGTTACTTGTAAAAATATTTATTTTCAATTTTTTGAGGAAAAGTCACTCTTCATAATTTCTTCTGATTGTTACATATATAAATACCATTCACGATGAGAAATACAATTGTAGATTTTGCAAAATTAAAAATTTTTAAATATTTTTTTTGAAGGTCTAATATGAAGAGCTTGTAAGGAGAAACCAAAAAAAAAATAAGATATTTGTTATTAAAAATAAAATCAATTTAGGTCCTAACTTGAATGTTTCTATTATTTTGTAGAAATTGAGTGGTATCTCATTTTGTGATTATGAACAAAGGTTGTTGCTTTACTAGAGGCTAAATGTAGCAAAGTATTCCTCAAGGTTATGACGATTAGCTGTCATCTTGGTTACTTTGCTACATATACTTTGCTACATTTAGGCTCTAGTGTTGCTTTCAAATTTAAAAACTAATATCTTAAATTTTCAATATCAAATATCTTAGTATCAAAAACTCATATGAAAAAACTTTATTTGACTTTTTGATTTCTTCTTACCAGCTCTTTATATTAGCGCTTAAAAAAATATTTAAAAATGTTTGCTTACCCTGTACAACAAAATGTTTCTCTACGCGAATCGTATTTATATAACAATCAAAATAAATTATCAAAAATGACTTTTCCTTAAAAAATTAATATTTAATTCCATCCGTGGATATATATAATTATATTTTAAACAAATAAAAACCAGATATTTTTTATGTATTTATTAACATAACATTTAATAAAAAAAACACAAAACACAAATATATACTCAAATATGCATCAAAGTAAATTAAAAATTGAAAGCTTTGCACATAGGGCCAATGGGACAAACAGGGCTAAAGTCACATTGTTATGAACCACCGAGCAAGTTGGGTTAACCAAATGTTCTAACCTGCGGTTCCTCTAATGCTGAGCAGGATTACCAAAGGGAACCTGTTATTTGCGTATTACTATCGCAGCGACGCGTCATAGCTGATGGCTCATCAGGGCCGGTTTATCAATATCCAGTTAAAGTTGCAGTAAGTTACCTGGCAGATAATTTTCATGGATACCATTGTTCTCACAACGATCAATATATAATTTAACTGTCAGATAGACTAACTGGAACTTAACCAAAAGTTGATAAACCGGCCCTCAATAATGTAAAACTAACCTGTCTAAAATATCTCCCAGATATTGATGAAAAATAATATCTATTTTAATATTTTAAGAATTGATTGCAATTTTTTTTCAAAAATATAGAAGATTAAAAATTTTAA